GAAGAGAGGAATAAATACAGGAAATGACGTAGAAAATGATGATACGCGGAGCCACAATACTTCTTCTCCTCCCTCCTCTTCTTCCTCCTCCTGAAGATTAAACACACTAACGTTAACTGGGGCTGTAGAGTGAGGCGGTGGAGTGGTGAATCGGAGTGAGGCGGTGGAGTGGTAAATCGGAGTGGGGCGGTGGAGTGATATACCGGAGTGGGGCGGTGGAGTGGTATACCGGAATGGATTGTTACCGGGGTGAACTAAAAAGACCTACTGGACATATGATTAATGATGCAGACAGTACTGAGTATATTGTGTGAGAGAGATTGACCTTAGTGCTCGTAACAACACACAGGGGGCACCACTGTCCTATACGCAGACGCCATGACTGATGTAGCAATGAACGTCGCAATGCAGATTTGGCAGCTGTGACCTTGCTGGTGTTTTGGTTCCGATCTCTCTCTCTCTCTCTCTTGCCCGTGCCTCACTCTGTTTCCCTCACTCGTGCCGACTCTCCCTGCCATCCATTCGTCTCATCTCCCTCCCTCCCGTGCCTGGGCCTCTCTCTCCCTGTCTCAATCATTAGTGCCTCTCTCCCTGCAGGAGGCAGGTTAGGGGGGAATAACATACAAGGAGGCAACTGTACACACTCAATATATTTAGAGAAATACAACAAATACAGACACACAAACTCAACAAATACACACACACACACACACACTCAACAAATACACACAAACACACACACACACACACAACAAATGTGTTGTAATTAAGTGAACTCGGGGGATATTTTATAATAATTCTACCCGGGATATTCCAGGTAGAATTATTACTATATATATCCCGGACTGGTGACAGGCTCAACATTGCTCGCAGGATCTGGGTAAAAGTCCTGGATTCTGTCGTTTGTTTGGCAGTGGGAATAAGATTTCACTCTTGAGATTAAAAACACGGACGAGAGAGAGAGAGAGCAGTTCACCATCACTCTGGTTGGAAGGACGGCAGTGACGATATGAAGATAAAGTCTGTTATTATTTGTCACGTGGGAGGTCGTTAGTCACCAGAGGACGGGTACCTGGGTGTATATAGGGGAGGTGCACCTGATGTATGTATGTGTGTGTGTGTGTGTGTGTGTGTGTGTGTGTGTGTGTGTGTGTGTGTGTGTGTGTGTGTGTGTGTGCGGCGTCTCCTCTTCCTGCGATACAGCCTCACCTCCATGACTCAACCTCTGTAGAAGTGAAAAACCAAAAGAAAACACAAACAAGGTAACATACAAACACCGGAAAAGTGGCTCCCCACCCCCCACCACACCACCACAACAACAATCACAGGTCACACATCACTGCAAAACAATATGACTCACCGTCAACACAACAAAAAGGCAGCAGTATCTACCCCCCATCCCCCCACACCCTCACCCACCCCGCCATAACGGCCCGCCCTCCACACCATTCCTTTCTCTAAAATCTCTGATGGTTCTTGGTCAAGTTCTTTTTACAATAGTTATTCTGGTCTTACTGTCTCACCTCCTGAGAGAGAGAGAGATGCTCTACCACAGTTAAAGGGAAGGAGGGAGGGAGAGGGAGGCAGCGGGTAGGAGGAGAATGAGGAGGGAGAGGTGAGGCAGCGTGTAGGAGGCAGGCAGAGTTGCTCAAACATCGACAATGAATCTCAGTAACTCAAGCGGGACATAATTTAATTGCAACAAATCTAAGCGAAGCAATTACCAAGGCAGAACTCTCCCACCCCTACCACCTCCTCCCCACCCTTACCCTCTCACCTCCCCACCCATCCCCACCCTTACCCTCCCCTCACCCATCCCCACATACCCTCACTCCCTCCCCACCCCTAGCCTTTCCCTCCCTTCCCTACACTAGCCTTTCCCTCCCTCCCCACCCTTACACTCCTACTCCTCTCCCCACCCTCCTATTCCCCTCCCCACCCTCCTATCTTACCCTCCCCACAGCCGCTCAGAATAAAGGCATTATATCATGAATTAATTTGAAGAACGAAAGAGAGAAGGAAAAAAAATAGCGTCATTCTGTTATTACGAAGATCGAGGTGCAATATAATGGATGGAAGCCTCTCACCCTGCATATGGCTGTGTGGTGGTGTTTAGCGGGTAAAACACACACACACACACACACACACACACACACACACACACACACACGCGCGCGCGCGAAAACAACTGTATTAGTACCAATGTGGAAATTTGTTACGAAACTGCTTGATAAAAATAGCCAAGACCAACATAAGAACTGTTGTTGGGTGTAGTTGTGTAGTTAAAGAGGGAAGGTGTTACTGGGTGTAGTTTGAAAGTCTGCCAAAAACGTCCATGAAAGCCTGCCATAAACGTCCATGAAAGTCTGCCAAAAAGTCCATGAAAGCCTGGCAAAAACAGCCGAAAGTCTGCAAAAACGTCCATGAAAGATCTGCAAAAACGTCCATAAGCCTGTCAAAACATCCGCGAAAGTCTGCCAAAACGTCCATGAAAGTCTGCCAAAACGTCCATGAAAGTCTGCACCAAAACGTCCCGCGAAGTCTGCCAAAAACGTCCATGAAAGTCTGCCAAAACATCCATGACCTGGCAAAACGTCCGCGAAGTCTGCAAAAACGTCCATGAAAGCCCGGCAAAACGTCCATGAAAGCCTGGCAAAACGTCCATGAAAGTCTGCCCAAAGCGTCCATGAAAGTCTGCCAAAAACGTCCGCAAGAAAGTCTGCCAAAACGTCCATGAAAGTCTGCCAAAAACGTCCATGAAAGTCTGCCAAAAACGTCCATGAAAGCCTGGCAAAACGTCCATGAAAGTCTGCCAAAAACGCGAAAGCCCAGCAAGAAACGTCCATGAAAGCCTGGCAAAAACGTCCATGAAAGTCTGCCCCAAAACGTCCATGAAAAGCCTGTCAAAAAGCATGCAAAGTCTGCAAAAACGTCCGCGAAAGTCTGCCAAGAAAGCGCAAATCCATGAAAGTCTGCAAAAACGTCCGCAGAAAGTCTGCCAAAACGTCCGCGAAAGAGTCTGCCAAAACGTCCACATGAAGTCTGCCAAAAACGTCCGCTGAAAAGCCTGCCATAAACGTCGCGAAAGTCTGCCAAAAACGTCCATGAAAGTCTGCCAAAAACGTCCATGAAAGTCTTAAAAACGTCCGCGAAAGTCTGCCAAAACGTCCGCGAAAGTCATGCCAAAAACGTCCATGAAAGCCCGCTTAATCGCGAAAGTCTGCCAAAAACGTCCATGAAAGCCTGGCAAAAACGTCCCATGAAAGTCTGGCAAAAACGTCCATGAAGTCTGCCAAAGAACGTCCATGAAAACCTGGCAAAAACGTCCATGAAAGCCTGGCGAAAACGTCCATGAAAGTCTGCCAAAAACGTCCATGAAAACCTGCCAAAAACGTCCATGAAAATCTGCCAAAAGGTCCATGAAAGCCTGCCAAAGACGTCCATATGAAAACCTGCCAAAGACGTCCATATGAAAGCCTGCCAAAAACGTCCATGAAAGCCTGCCAAAAACGTCCATGAAAACCTGCCAAAGACGTCCATATGAAAGCCTGCCAAAAACGTCCATGAAAGCCTGCCGGGACCACAATGTAAATACTGCCAGAATGAACCAAGGAAGAAGATGCCATGATAACTTGGTCGGACACGGCGCTGCTGAAGGGCAACTGTACTACAGAGGGGGAAGGTGAGCTACTGTACACGCATCCTATTTCCTCCTCCGATATTTCTCCTCTTGGATGGAAAATTTTAGCAGTACGTCGTGAGCGAGGAAGATCTCCAGTGATATTATTATCGCCACTGTAAAAATTCTCAGCAATTCTTGTATCCAAAACCGATAGTGTTGGACATGTACGTGTGTAAGGATGACCGCCACAGCTATATATACGTACCATGGCTCTCGCTCACAACAATATGTACAGATTCATGAGCAGATAAATGTGAGTTAAAGGTAAGAAATGTCTCCTGGCTATAATACTAGTCGTAGGGTCGAGCATCGTCTACAGTAAGGTAAATCTGGCGAAACAGCTCAGCTCAGAACTCTGGTCAAAGTGAACGTCTGGCCAGGGACCTGACACAGCAGCAGTCCCTGATATAGTAAGGGTACCTGGGTTGAGTTCTAACAAAGAAGGGAACTAAGTTAGCTTTAACAGAGCAAAGGTAACTGGACAGCTTTAACACAAGAAGAAACCTTTAACAGTGCCATTAACATATTGATGGCCCCATAATAATTCTAACACGGGGTGGGAGGGAAGGTCCCAACACAGTGAGTGCTCCTGTAGGCCTTAATACAGCGTGAACCCGCGAGTCCAGGCCTACAGTAGCACAGTGAGGGGTCTCTTGGACGGAGCCTTAACACAACAAGAGCACCTAGGCAGAGCGGCCGTCAGCCCAGGAGACTCTTGATGAGTTACCTCTCTCCCGCGTCACGTATGGGAGAAGAACGTGAGGCTCGCTCCACCGCCTCCCTCCCCGTCTCGCCTGGAATGGTAATCAACGCCTTACTTCCACTATACGGCCTCCAGTTTTTTTTTACGTTACATCTATGATAAACATTTTTTACTGAAGAAAAAACCTAGGAGGAGTTTACGGATGACGCCAAGGACACACAACAACAAAGACTCACGAATGATTAATGACCTCTTCTCCAGCCACTTCTACATGACTGGCTGGTGACCTTTGAGGAAGCCCTAACTATGTTCTACAGTTCACCATCCACAGGGAAGACTTTCAGGTTTCCACAGTATGGCGTGAGCACTATAAATCAGGAGTTGGATTAGCAGAGTCTGAGAGAGAGAGAGAGAGAGAGAGAGAGAGAGAGAGAGTTTTGACACGGCTTCTTGATTTTCCTTTCACAAACTTCTATCGTGAATAATGGAATCACATCGAGTAGTCTGGTTTGGTTAATTGATCTTGAGGTGATGGTGAGGAGAGATGAGGGATGGAGGAGGAGGGAAGGTGCTCTCAGGTACATAAGAAAGAACGTAAGGATAGATTAAGTACAAATGAGGTTCAGAAACAGAGGACAAGGGTTCATAAATAGATACAACGGGTTCAGAAACAGAGAAAAGGGGTTCAGAAACAGAGATAAAGGGTTCAGGAACATACAAAGGGTTCAGAAACAGAGACAAAGGTTCAGAAACAGAGACAAAGGGTTCAGAAACATACAAAAGGTTCAGAAACAGAGACAATGGTTCAGAAACAGAGACAAAAGGTTCAGAAACACACAAAGGGTTCAGAAACATAAACAAATGGTTCAGAAACAGAGACAAAGGGTTCAGAAACAGAGACAAAGGGTTCAGAAACATACAAAAGGTTCAGAAACAGAGACAAAGGGTTCAGAATCAGATCAAAGGGTTCAGAAACAGAGACAAAGGGTTCAGAAACAGAGACAAAGGGTTCAGAAACAGAGACAAAGGGTTCAGAAACATACAAAGGTTCAGAAACACACAAAGGGTTCAGAAACATACAAAGGGTTCAGAAACATACAAAGGGTTCAGAAACATACAAAGGTTCAGAAACAGAGACAAAGGGTTCAGAAACATACAAAGGTTCAGAAACACACAAAGGGTTCAGAAACATACAAAAGGTTCAGAAACACACAAAGGGTTCAGAAACATACAAAGGGTTCAGAAACATACAAAAGGTTCAGAAACACACAAAGGGTTCAGAAACATACAAAAGGTTCAGAAACACACAAAGGGTTCAGAAACATACAAAAGGTTCAGAAACACACAAAGGGTTCAGAAACATACAAACGGTTCAGAAACACACAAAGGGTTCAGAAACATACAAAAGGTTTAGAAACACACAAAGGGTTCAGAAACACAGATAGGGATTCAGGGTCACGTCTACCCAATGTATTTTAGTCTGGTATAAGAATATCCAGAGCCTGTTTAATTTCATTTGTTGTTTGTGCACGAGGTGAGGCCCCGGGCTGACAGACTTTACCTCTTAAGTGAATGCGTCTGACGGCTATCAAAGAACTGGCTTACCCTGAACACTGAAAAGGCTACCTACACCTCTCTCTCTCTCTCTCTCTCTCTCTCTCTCTCTCTCTCTCTCTCTGTCTCTCTCTCCTATTGTTATAAAACCCTTTGTAAATGTTTCTACCAGCTTGGGAGGAAGTCATTTCATCTGAGAATTTAACCTTTGTCAACAATCATTTCCTCAACCATAAAATATTTTTTTTGGTTTACTAAAATCTAACTGGTTAAAAATTGGGTTGAATACAAATAGAAAAATAAAAATTTAATCACAATAATATTTAAAATTTGATACTAAATATGACGAATATAAATGTAACTTTGTATATATTTCACTACAGTTTTATTTTCATCATTATAACAAGCGTTTAGTGGATGCCCAGCGGTGCTCACTAATTGTTGACTTAAGTTCAGCCGCCTGTAGTAATCTTGACTTGGGTGCTGTTGGTTTAAGCTCCACGAAATCAATTACTTAGTTGTTGCTGTTAGTTGGCTGTGAGGGTTTGTGATGGGAGTTGTAACCACCCTTGTAACCATGGCAACCAACTATCAAACAACCGTACTGTAATTAAGAGGGGAAGGGGCTATAGGGATCCGGTACTAGACTTGTGTGATGATAGGATGTATGGTACTGTACTAAGCTCAATACTCTCTTGATATACACTTGTTTATTATTAAGAGGAACACACACACACACACACACACACACACACACACACACACACACACACACACACACACACACACACACACACACACACCTCCTCTATATATTTTAAAATAACTATATTGTGTGTGTACCAACAATACTATATAATCTAAAGGAATTTTTCGCATTACCGAATTTCCTGAACACAACATTACCCAATAAAGATACTCAATAAACTCTAACCTAACCAAACCAAACCTAACCTAACCTAACCTAACCTAACCTAACCTAAATACACCCTATAATATCTGAACCATTCTCGACCATGGCTTTACCGTAGAGGTGCACAGGGCTGTCAGACTGGGAATTAAGCTCTCCAGCCACTAATCCGGGGTGGTCCTGGGTTAAGCTATCAGGTAGATTAAGGTCTATAACTCGATAACACAACTTCAGCTTAAACTCTGCCATGGTGAGGTACTATAACTTGGCATTAAGGTCCTGTAAATATAATGTACTGAGCCGAAACTTTCTATAATAACCTCTACTTAAAATAAACTTATGTGCCTATTAGTTGAAAATTAAAGACAATTTCACTCTTAGTAAACAAGAATAAATTAATATTAAAATGGGGATAAAAATAATGTCAGCAATACAGGTAAAATATTTTCAGGTATATTTTCTACTAGATCACCTTCCTAATTAAGCACAATAGGCAGGTGTATCCGGCTGCTGGTACTAGCTGTCCTTCGTGTACCTTTATGTCTAATTTAGCACAGACTACATGACAACAAAATAGTGTACAGATGTGGACAAAATTATCTGGACACGTGACGGATCATTAGGTGAGGGAGATAGGAATTTTAATGCATTTTCTAAGATTTTTTTTTTGTTTCTTCCGTTATATCGAGGTCCGTTAGAAGTGAAACCTCCATCTAACGGATTATATGGAGAGAAAAATCCGTTATATGGAGAAAAAATCCGTTATATGGAGAAAAAATCCGTTATATGGAGAAAAAGTCCGTTATATGGAGGTTTCAATGTACGAGTATATTAACCATTCACGTCCAGTCCGGAACAAGCGAGACAACACTTCCTGGTCATCCCAACAGTTGACAGAACAGTGAAAGTTGAGGACTAGTCTATTATTAGAAGGGAAAAAGAGCGAGAATTGACACAGAACCTGATTCAACTATAGTAGGTAAGGTAAGGTAAGGTAAGGTAAGGTAAGGTAAGGTAAGGTAAGGTAAGGTAAGGTATGGTATGGTATGGTAAGGTAAGGTAAGGTAAGGTATGGTAAGGTAAGGTAAGGTAAGGTATGGTAAGGTAAGGTAAGGTAAGGTAAGGTAAGGTAAGGTAAGGTAAAGGTATGGTAAGGTAAGGTAAAGGTAAGGTAAAAGGTAAAGGTAAAGGTAAGGTATGGTAAGGTAAGGTAAGGTAAGGTAAGGTAAGGTAAAGGTAAGGTAAGGTAAGGTAAAGGTAAGGTAAGGTATGTAGGTATGGTAAAAAGATGGTAAGGTAAAAGGTAAGGTAAGGTAAGGTAAAGGTATGGTAGTAAGGTAAGGTATGGAGGTAAGGTAAAAGGTAAGGTAAGGTAAGGTATGGTAGGTAAGGTAAGGTAAGGTGGGTAAAGGTAAGTAAGGTAAAAGGTAAAGGTAAGGTAAGGTAAGGTATGGTAGGAGTAAGGTTAAGGTAAGGTAAGGTAAAAGGTAAGGTAAGGTAAAGGTATGGTAAGGTAAGGTAAAGGTAAGGTAAGGTAAAGGTAAAGGTAAGGTATGGTAAGGTAAGGTAAGGTAAAGGTAAAGGTAAGGTAAGGTAAGGTATGGTAAGGTAAGGTAAGGTAAGGTAAGGTAAGGTAAGGTAAGGTAAGGTAAGGTATGGTATGGGTATGAGTAAGGTGTGGGTAAGGTAAGGTAAGGTAGGGTAAGGGTGGTAAGGTAGGTAAAGGTGGAGTGGGTAAAGGTGGGGTAAAGGTAGGAGTAAAGGTAGGGTGGGTAAGGTGGAGTAAGGTGGAGTGAGTAAGGTAAGGTAAGGTAAGGTTAGGTAAGGTAAGGTAAGGTGTAGGGGTGAAAGGTATGGTAAGGTAAGGTAGATAAAGGTAAAGGTAAGGTATGGTGGAGTAAGGTAGGGTAAGGTAAAGGTAAGGTATGGTGGGGTAAAAGGTGAAAAGATGGAAAGATGGGTAAGGTAGAGATGGGTATGGTGGAGTGGAGTAAGGTAAGGTAAAGGTGGAGTAGGGGTGAAGGTGGGGTAAGGTGGGGTAAGGTAAAGGTAAAGATTAAGGATGGGTAAAGGTGGGTGTAGTGGGTAAGGTGGATTATGGTGGGTAAAGGTGGGGTAAAGGTGGGGAGTGGAGTGGAGTAAAGATTAAGGTGGGTAAAGGTAAGGTAAAGATTAAAGGTGGGTAAGGTAAAGGTAAAGGTATGGTAAGGTAAAAGGTAAGGTAAAGGTAAGATGGGTAAGGTAAGGTAAGGTGGAGTAAGGTAAAGGTGTGGTAAGGTAAAGGTAAAGGTGGAGTGGGTAAGGTAAGGTAAAGGTAAAAGATTATGGTAAAAGATGGGTAAGGTAGGTAAAAGGTAAGGTGGAGTAAAGGTAAGGTAAGGTATGGTTATGGTAAAAGGTGGGTAAAGGTAAGGTAAGGTAAGGTAAAAGATGAGTGGAGTGGAGTATGGTAAGGTAAGGTAAGGTGGTGGGTAAGGTGGGTAAGGTGGAGTGAGGTGGGTGGGTGAGGTGGGTAAAGGTAAGGTGGAGTAAAGGTGGGTAAGGTAAAGGTGTAAGGTAAAGGTTTAAGGTAAAGGTAAAGGTAAAGGTGGAGTGAAAGGTAAGGTATGGTAAAAGATTAAGGTAAGGTAAAGATGAAAAGGATTAAAGGTAAAGGTGGAGTGGGTAAAGGTAAAAGGTAAAAGGTGGAGTAAAGTGGGTATGGTAAGATGGGTAAGGTAAGGTAAAGGTAAGGTATGGGTAAAAAGGTAAGGTAAAGGTAAAAGGTAAAGTTAAGGATAAAAGATGGGAATGAAAAGGTAGGAGTGGAGTAAAGGTGGGTAAGGTGGGGTAAAAGGTAGAGATAAGGTATGGTAAGGTAAAATTAAGGTGGAGTGGGGGTAAGGTATGGTGGGTAAGGTGGAGTAAGGTAAGGTGGGTGGGTGGAGGTGGGTAAAGGTGGGGTAAGGTGGAGTGGTGTGGTAAGGTAAAGGTAAAGGTGTAGGTAAAAAGGTAAGGTAAAGGTAAGGTAAGGTAAGGTGAAGGGTAAGGTAGATATGGTAGGTAAAGGTAAAGGTTAAGGTAAAGGTAAGGTGGGGTAAGGTGGGGTAAGGTATGGTAAAGGTAAGGTGGTAAATGGTGAGGTAGGGTAAGGTATGGTAAAAGTGTAAAGATGGGTAAGGTAAGGTAAAGGTAAGGTAAGGTGGAGTGGGGTAAGGTAAAGGTAAGGTAAGGTAAGGTAAGGTAAGGTAAGGTAAGGTAAAAGGTAAGGTATGGTAAAGGTAAGGTAGGTGGAGTAGGTAAGGTATGGTAAGGTAAAGTGAGGTAAAGGTAAGGTAAGGTAAGGTAAAGGTGGGGTAAGGTGTGGTAAGGTGGGTAAGGTAAAAGGTAAAGGTAAGAATTGAATAGTTTCTGATGGGATATGATCAGTTCTCCTGAGTCACGTGTCTTAGTGTTGAAAGCTCTATTTAACGGACAAACAGCAGCATCCATAGCATCACCCAAGACAGCAACAGCAGGAGCAGGAGGGGAGCATCAACAGCAGTAACCTTACTTTCCAGCAGCTATTACTAACGCCAGCAGAGTGAGAGAACGGTGAAGGCGCTCCCAGGGGACGACAACAACACCACCTGAATCTAAACGACCACAGGTTGGGGTAGTGGCCGTCGGTAAGTAGCCTGGGTGAAGTGGCATCAGTTACCTATACCACTGCTCTTACACCTACTACCACCGCCGTGTAACACTGCACTCAGCGACAAGTACAGTATGTGGCAACTCTTTCTACATCAAGGTAAGTCAAGAAATCCGCGGAATATCGAACCCTATGCTATCCAGACATGAAGGTGGTGGTGGTGGGAGTTGAGGAGCCGAGCGAAACGTGGCAATGATCAGATGGATGCTACTGTCGTGCTCTGGTTATTACTAAACTATTTTATGTTTCAAAGGTCAATATGGCCTTTATATGTAAGGGTTAACAATTTTCCTCTATGTTGAAATGAAACAAGAAGTGGAGGTGAAGTGAAATGACAGAAAATTAAAGATATTTGCAATAAAGTGAAGTGTTTTTTTTCATGTGAGATTTATGGATCTTGGTCACACACACACACACACACACACACACGATTAAAAATCCCAATCTTACATACGGTTCTGAATTACTCAGCCTGGACTATTTACTGGAACTAAGAACATTTTACTAAATCATGTTGACTTCAGCAGCACTGAGAGTTGTGGCAGAGACCAGATAGTTGTTTAATGGGTCAGCAGATGGTGAGTGTGACCCATCCACCTTAACACTGCTATAAGGTCAATCGATGCATATTTTCACCTTTATGGTCACCTGTAATATGTATTATTATTGTTTACTTGCCTTCAAACACACACACACACATAATTATAAATATTGTTAGGGAAGTCAGAATGTCAGCCTACAGGACACCTACCATCATGGAGTCATCTTCAGTCACAACACAACGACCTCACCTTCACTTACCCCCCAAATCATCTAATCTTCGTCCAAATCCTTTTACTACAGAGGAGAATTATTTTCCTTCAGGAAACATTTGTAGTGGGTGACCCTGACCGGCCTCCAGTAGCCTCTCTGGTAATTTGGAGGAGTGGAACCGCTGTCTTGCCTGATCCTCCTTGTTGGATTTCAAATTACACTCCAAGGAGGATCGGAAGCACCTACAGATTTTCTCATCCTGGCTGTTCTCCCCCAAACCCTGGCTGTGTCGAGTTCAAAATCCAGAAAGTGAACTCATTAAGTTCAGTCCCAGTGTAGACAGAGGTATAAATAAACTGCACTTATTCCTCTGTGTTAATACTAGAACCCTACACAGTGTATATTTTCCCATAACAGCAAGACGACGAACAGCAGAACAAGACGACAAACAGCAGCAGAACAACAACAAGGCGACGAACAGCAGAACAAGACGACGAACAGCAGCAGAACAACAACAGGGCGACGAACAGCAGAATAAGACGACGAACAGCAGCAGAACAACAACAGGGCAACGAACAGCAGAATAACAGCAAGGCGACGAACAGCAGCAGAACAACAACAAGGCGACGAACAGCAGAATAACAGCAAGGCAACGAACAGCAGCAGAACAACAACAGGGCGACGAACAGCAGAATAACAGCAAGGCGACGAACAGCAGCGGAACAACAGCGAGACTATAGCAGTAAAAATGACAGTATGGAGAACAGCGTCAGCAACAACTAGTGACTAAGGGCTAATGGCATGACAACCCAGACAACCTTAATGACCCACCAGAGATCAGTCGCCTTAACTCATCCCAACCCACCTCACGCCCACCTCCTGTCAGCTGCCCACCTCCGCCCACCTCCCTCCCTGTCAGCTGCCCACCTACCACCCCTCCCTGACCCTCACACTACCAGCCCCTGACCCCTCACACTACCAGCTCCTGACCTCACACTACCACCCCCAGCCCTCACACTACCAGCTCCTGACCCTCACACTACCAGCTCCTGACCTCACACTACCAGCTCCTGACCCTCACACTACCAGCTCTCCTGACCCTCACACTACCACCCCCAGCCTCACACTATCGCTCCCAGACCCTCACACTACCAGCTCCCAGACCCTCACTACCAGCTCCTGACCCTCACACTACCAGCTCCTGACCCCCTCACTACCAGCTCCTGACCCTCACACTACCAGCTCTGACCCTCACACTACCAGCTCCTGACCCTCACACCAGCTCCTGACCTCCACCTACCAGCTCCCCCAGACCCTCCACACTACCACCCCCAGCCCCTCACACAGCTCCCTGACCTCACACTACCAGCTCCCTGACCCTTACACTACCAGCTCCTGACCCTCACACTACCAGCTCCCTGACCCTCACACTACCAGCTCCTGACCCTCCTTATACCAGCTCCCAGATCCTCACACTACCAGTTCCCCAGACCCTCACACTACCAGCTCCTGACCCTCACACTACCAGCTCCCTGACCCTCACATACCAGCTCCTGACCTTCACTACCAGCTCTCTGACCCTCACACTACCAGCTCCTTGACCCTCACACTACCAGCTCCCAGACCCTCACACTACCACCCCCTGACCCTCACACTACCAGCTCCTGACCCTCACACTACCAGCTCCTGACCCTCCAAGCTCCTGACCCTCACTAGCTCCTGACCACACTACCAGCTCCTGACCTCACAATCAGCTCCCTCGCCTCACACTACAGCTCCCAGACCCTCCACTACCACCCCCCAGCCCTCACACTACCAGCTCCCTGACCCCTCACACTACCAGCTCCCTGGCCTCACTACAGCTCTGACCTCACACACTACCAGCTCCCTGACCTCACCTATCAGCTCCCAGACCCTCACACTACCAGCTCCTTGACCTCACACTACCCAGCTCCTGACCCTCACACTACCAGCTCCTGACCTCACACTGCTCCCAGACCCTCACACCCCACCCCTGACCTCCCACCAGCTCCTGACCCTCACACTACCAGCTCCCTGACCTCCTACAGCTCCTGACCCTCACACTACCAGCTCTGACCTCCTACCAGCTCCTGACCCTCACACTACCAGCTCCCAGACCCTCACACCACCCCAGCCCTCCACACCAGCTCCTTGACCTCCACTACCAGCTCCCGAACCCTCACACTACCACCCCCCTGACCCTCCACACTACCAGCTCCTGACCCTCACACTACCAGCTCCCTGACTCTCACACTACCAGCTCCCCTGACCCTCACTACCAGCTCCCAGGCCCTCACACTACCAGCTCCTCAACCCTCCTTACCAGCTCCTGACCTCACACCACCGGCTCCCCAGCCCTCCACTACCACCCCCTGACCCTCCACACTACCACCCCTGCCCCTCACTACCAGCTCCCCAGCCCTCCTACCAGCTCCTGACCTCACACTCCCACCGCTCCCAGACCTCACACTACCAGCTCCTGACCTCACACTACCAGCTCCTGACCCTCACCACCCCCTGACCTCACACTACCACACCCCTGAACCTCACACTACCAGCTCCTGACCCTCACACCAGCTCCTGACCCTCCCATACCAGCTCCCAGATCCTCACACTACCAGCTCCCAGACCCTCCCTACCACCCCCTGACCCTCCACACTACCAGCTCCCTGACCCTCACTACCAGCTCCTGACCCTCACATTACCAGCTCCTGACCTTCACACTACCAGCTCTCTGACCTCACACTACCAGCTCCTTGACCCTCACACTACCAGCTCCCGACCCTCACTACCACCCCCCAGCCTCCACCAGCTCCTGACCTCACACTACCGCTCCCAGCCCTCACACACTCAGCTCCTGACCTCCCTACCAGCTCCTGACCTCACACTACCAGCTCCTGACCCTCACTATCCAGCTCCTTGACCCTCACACTACCAGCTCCCAGACCCTCACACTACCACCCCCTGACCTCACACCCACCAGCTCCTGACCCTCACACTACCAGCTCCCCAGCCCTCACACTACCAGCTCCCTGACCCTCCACTACAGCTCCTGACCTCCCACTATCAGCTCCCAGACCCTCCACTACCAGCTCCTTGACCTCACACTACTGGCTCCTGACCCTCACACCCAGCTCCTGACCCTCTCCACACTACCAGCTCCCAGACCCTCACACACCACCACCCCTGACCCTCACACTACCCAGCTCCCCAGCCCTCCACACTACAGCTCCTGACCCTCCCACTACCCTCCTGACCCTCACACTACCAGCTCCTGACCCTCCCACACTCCAGCTCCCAGACCCTCACACTACCCCTGACCCTCACACTACAGCTCCTTGACCCTCACTACCAGCTCCCAGACCCTCACACTACCCCCAGCCCTCCCACACTACCCAGCTCCCTGACCTCACACTACCAGCTCCCAAACCCCTCCTGCCAGCTCCCCTGACCCTCACACTACCAGCTCCCCCGACCCTCCTACCAGCTCCCAACCCTCCTACCAGCTCCTGACCCTCCTACCAGCTCCTGACCCTCACTGCCACCCCCCCCGCCCCTCCCACTACCAGCTCCCAGACCCTCACACTACTAGCTCCTGGCCTCACACTACCAGCCCCTGCCCTCACTACCAGCTCCCTGACCTCCACTACCAGCTCCTGACCCTCACACTACCAGCTCTGAGCCCTCACACACTACCTCCCCAGAGCCTCACACCACCAGCTCCTTGACCCTCACACTACCAGCTCCCAGACCCTCACACTACCACCCCTGACCCTCACACTACCAGCTCCTGACCTCACTACCAGCTCCCCAGCCCTCACACTACCAGCTCCCTGACCCTCTACCAGCTCCCAGACCCTCCACTACCAGCTCCCTGACCCTCACTACCAGCTCCCCAGCCCTCACACTACCAGCTCCCCAACCTCACACACCACCCCCTACCTCCACTACCAGCTCCCAGACCCTCACACTAGCTCCTGGCCTCCTACCAGCTCCTGGCCCTCACACTACAGCTCCTGACCCTCCTACCAGCTCCCTGACCCTCACACTACCAGCTCCCAACCTCACCTACCAGCTCCTGACCCTCACACTACCAGCTCCCTTGACCTCACTACCAGCTCCCTGACCCTCCACCTACCACCCCCTGACCTCACACTACCAGCTCCCACAGCCTCCCACCAGCTCCCAACCCTCACACTACCAGCTCCTGACCCCTCACACTACCAGCTCCCCAGCCCTCCACTACCAGCTCCCCCAGACCCTCACACTACCAGCTCCTTATTCCTACTGCTCCCTGACCTCAACTACAGCTCCTGGCCCCTCACACTACCAGCTCCCAGACCTCTCACACCACCCCCTGGCCTCACACTACCAGCTCCCTGACCCTCCTACCAGCTCCCCAACCTCCTACCAGCTCCTGACCCTCACAGCCCCAGCCCTCTACCAGCCCAGCTCCACCACCCCCTGCCCTCCTACGCTCTGACCTCCACAGTCGCCTCCTCCCGCCTCACACTACCAGCTCCTGACCTCACACTCCACCGCTCCCAGCTCCACCTCCACTACCAGCTCCCAGACCCTCACACTACCAGCTCCCCAGCCCTCCTACCAGCTCCTGACCTCACACTACCAGCTCCCGCTCACACCCCCCCCTGACCCTCACCTACCAGCTCCAGACCCTCCCACTACTAGCTCCCCAGCCCTCACACTACCAGCTCCCTGACCCTCACACTACCAGCTCCCCAGCCTCCACCACCCTCCTGACCTCTCACACTACCAGCTCCCAGACCCTCCTACCACCCCCTGACCCTCACTACCAGCTCCTTGACCCTCCCACTACCAGCTCCCGACCCTCACACCACCCCTGACCTCACACTACCAGCTCCCCAGCCCTCGCTCCTGACCCTCCTACGCTCCTGACCCTCCACACTACCAGCTCCCAGACCCTCACACTACCAGCTCCCTGACCCTCCACTACCAGCTCCCTGACCCCTCACACTACCAGCTCCCCTGACCCTCACACCACCACCCCCTGACCCTCACTACAGCTCCTGCCATCACACTACTGGCTCCCCAGCCCTCACACTACAGCTCCCGCCCTCACACACCAGCTCCAGCCTCTCCCACTACCAGCTCCCAGACCTCACACTACTAGCTCCTGACCTCCACTACCAGCTCCTGACCCCTCACACCACCCCTAGCCTCACAGTACCACCCCCTAGCCTCACACTACCAGCTCCTCTGACCTCCTACCAGCTCCTGACCCTCACACCACCCCCCTGACCCTCCACTACCACCCCCTGACCCACACACTACCCAGCTCCCCTGACCTCACACACCAGCTCCCAGACCTCACACTTTCCAACTCCTGACCTCACACTACCAGCTCCCTGACCTCACACTACCACCCCTGAACCTCACACTACCAGCTCCCTGACCCTCTCCTTACTGGCTCCTGACCTCCACTACCAGCTCCCTGACCCTCACACTACCAGCTCCTTGACCCTCATACCATAACCGTTCCGTAACTCCAAACAGCTGTTACGTCACTTCTCATAGCTACTGTAACCACAAGTTTATGTAACAGTTCTAAAAAAAAAAAAACATCCCCAAAAAACCCTATG